CCAAATAGCATTGAACACTCAACACAGGTTACACATGCACCCTTGTTTCTTTTTTCATATCAACTTTCTTAAACCACACAAATCCATTACTCTTATCCCTTACTCCCAGCTGATAGCTTGTTGCCTACTTCAGACGAACGTCAATGTGATTAGACAAGAATTTTCATCTTCCCATCATAAAGTCTGTGCTTATCTTCTTTCCCATACTTGTAATAATTGTTTAACTGTCCCTTGTCCAACTTTTTTTTTTTTTTTGCCACACAATTGAGGCTATGCATAGTCTGGCCAGCTTACCTTTATAGACTATTTCTCATTAATTTCAAACTCACTCTAAACCTTAGTTAGCTATCACCCTCTCTTGCCTTACCTTACTCTCCTCCTTCAGGGATTCTCTTCCAAAACCTTAATAATTGTGTTCATGTTTTCATCTTTGTCAGAAATGGTCCTCCTTTTTCCTTTGCCTATCGTCTCCCTTTTGCCTGAACTCACTATATCATCTTCTATTACTCCTGCAGTAGATTATCACAAATTTCCAAAAGAAAACCAAACCCATTGCCATCTAGTTGATTCCTACTTATAGTGAACCCCATTGGGTTTCTGAGGCAGTAAATCTTTACAGAAGTAGATTTCCCAGTCTTGGTTCTGCAGAGTGGCTCATGGGTTTGAACCACCAATCTTCTGCTTAGCAGTCAGATGTCTTAGGCACTGTGCTACCAGAGCTCCTTACCACAAATTTAGCCGCTTAAAATAACACAAATCTTTTAGCTCTTTATTTCTTTAGTTCAGAAATTAAGGTGGGCTTGGGTAGGCACTCCACTTTAGGTGTCTCAGTGCTGAAATCAAGGTGCCAGCAGGGCTGGATCCTTTATTAAGGCTCTGAGGAAGAATCTGCTTCTAAGATTATCCAGGTTATGGTGGAATTCACTTCCTTGTGGTTGTAGGACTCAGGTTTTCATTTCCTTATTAGCTATTAGCAGGGACTGGTCTTGTTCTTCACAGCTGCCCACATTACCTCCCATGCTTTTCATTTGATCTCCTCCAGCAATGGGGAGTTGATTGTCTCTCATACTTTAATCTCTGACTTCTCCTTCCTCCTGTTTCTCTGGCTGCAGCTGGAGAAAGTTGTGTGCTTTTAAGTGCTCATGTGATTAGACTGGGTTCATCTGGATTTAAAAAAATAAATAAATAAAACAGAGCAAAAGTCTCCTTATTTTAAGGTACGTATCCCAGGTTTTGGATGTGGACCTGTCTGGGGGAATATATATGGTTTTGACTTTTTATTGTGATCTGGATGAAATAAAGAAAGTAGATTCATTTTATATTCAACAGTTCATGCATATCTTGTCTCATGACACTGATTACAGTCCCCATAATGTAACAGATCTCTTTTCACTTCCTCCCTATTGTTGCCTTTTCCCGGTGCCCTTCTTACTTATGCATTCCTGCCTCCCTAGCTTTCTCCTGCACACATGCTGCCTTTCTGATTTCCCATGGTTGATTGTTCTAAGGAATGCATATCCTGGTGCACTTGGTCAGCTCCATGGACCAGTCTATTGTTTGGCTGATAGTTAAACCACAATAGCAGTCCAATTTCAGGCCCTAAGGGTGACTAGGGCCATCATTTCAGAGGTTTCACCAGTTACTATGTGACCAGTAAACCTAGTCTTTTTTATGTATCTTAATTTTATTCCACATTTTTTCTCCCACTCTACCCACGATCTCGTTTTGATTCCTTTCCAAGGTTGGCATTGTTAGCCAGGCACCATCTTCTTCTTCTGGTCTTCATCTTATAGGCTGAGGTTCCTATGTCCCTTAGTCCCTTGGACTAATTTTTTCCAGATGTCTTTGATTTTCTTCACTCCTCTTTGCTCCACAGGAGCAGAAACCAATAGTTGCATCTTAGGTGGCTGCTTGCAAGCTTTTAAGACCCTAGTCACTACTCACCAAAGTAGGATGGCAAACAATGTTTATTTGTACTACATTGTACCAATTGAGCTTGATGTTCCCATGACTATGGTCAAGGGGAATATATTTGTTCATTTCTTTGAGAATAGGCGAGCTATTACATGCTCCAGGAAATTTCTGACTGCCCTATAATGTTGCAAATTCCTCTCCTTCATTTTCCCTAAAAATCCTCCCATATTTCTTATTATTGCAGTCACTGAACTGCTATGTTTCATTAAGAGTCTCCCAAAATAGACTGTGGATTTATATACTTATTCACCTATACATGCTCATGACTAAAATAGTGTCTAACATTGAATGACTGCCTCAATTTATAGTTACTTGTATTACTGCACACACCTTATGTTATATACTGCAATGGTAGGGATTGTGACCTTGTCTTAAATGAAAAGCCTATTATTTTATTTAAGTATTTTTTCACATGGAAGAATTTAAGGAGAAAGGCTTAAGAAAAGGAGTAATAGGCCCCAAATTCTGATCAATCTACGTTGATCAATCAAGACTCAGGTAATTTGCTGATCTTTTTCTATGTGAATTGATGTGACTTTGAGAAGAAGATCAAGGGGTGTGTTAGATATTGTACTGAATCCTGTGATCTAACTTACATATGAGTGGTATTCTTGAAAAGCTGCACCTTTTCAGGCTGGTTAGTTTCAGAGAAATATTAGCTGTCAGATTCTTTCTAAATTTGACTTCTTTCATTTTCATCCCTGATCTGGTTCAAGTGTTAGTCTCCTGTACTAATCACTATTCCTTCCAGCTATATCTGCTAGGATTTTCCTAGTGAATAAAGTTTGTTAGTAGCAAAATGGTATTTAATCCTAGCTCTTCTGACTCTGTGCCCTGACTTTTCTGTTGGATAACTATGGTCAATAAACACAAAATGCTAAGTCCCATGAAAAACCCCATAAAATTAATTTTACCATTCAAATTTATTTATTATTTAGTGAAATAAATTGTTCCAGTTAGTCAAAGAATTTATTCTTATTGGTGCTGTTACAGTTTGATCTATATCCATTCCCAATCATTTAACTTTCGGGATCCAAAGTTTAAGACTTAAACATGATCTCTAACATCCATTAAGTACTATGTGCTTGTTGATAGGCTAAATTCTTTGTATATATTATTCCATTTAATTATTCCAATCATCCTAGGGTGTAAGAATGACTATTACTTTTTTACAAGGAAAGAAATGAAGCTCTAAGTAGGATAGAAACTTTCCCTAGATTCAAACAAAAGTCAATCTGGCTTCATCTTATTATCTACCTTGTCTCTCCAGCAGATGTTCAATAAATATCTGTGGAGAATGCAGCACACTGTAGTGTCTTCAGCACCTTCTTAATCAGGACAAATATGCTGCATAATCTGACCCTAGCTGTACAGATATCCATAACAGCCCAGTGCTTCTTATTACGTTAGGGTCATGTTCATGCGTGATCCAATTGGGAATTTCATATATTCTAATAAATTTGAATGGTAAAATGAATTTTATGGGGTTGTTCATGGGACTTAGCATTTTGTGTTTATTGACCATAGTTATACAACAGAAAAGCCAGAGCACAGAGTCAGAAGAGCTAGGGTTAAATACCATTTTGCTACTAACAAACTTTATGTTTGAGATGTGTTTTTCCCTTTCTATCCTCGAGTTACCTCTTCTGTAAAAATATAATGCCCTCTCTGATCCCTGCAGGTTATCATATTCCTGCTCTTTTGATTCCCAAGAATCAAAAGTAGGGTGACATGGAGGATCTCTATATCCCCAGCAGTCCACAAGGACCTAAGCTGAAATAAACTCCTTGAAGGCAGCCTTACGTTGCTCAGGCCAGTAAGCTGGCCAAGATAACTGGGGGCTAAGGGCTGGGCATGCAGGGCTCCCAATGCTTCTCTCCTTCCCTCTATACATTCCATACACAAAGCTATCTCAGGTAGGTAAGGTGATGTGTCAGGCTCTAAGGTGCTGTCTTTAGCTTCTAAATCCTGAATGCTGTGATATGACAATCTGAAGGGGGAAAGGCTGTTCCTGATCTGAGTCAGTTTTCCCCCTCCACCACTTGTGGACTCTCATCTTCATTCACTTCAATTTCTATTTTCTATCTGTTGTTCTTGCTGTCTCTAATCCCATGATTCTTTTTCCTTCAAACATTACTTTCTGGGAAGAGATACCTTGTCAGGCCATATTTTGGACAGTGATGCCTTGGTGTAAGAAAGTACTTGCATCTTTTCCTCAGGATAATTTGAGATGGAGGGTGTGTATCTTAATGTCTGAAAAATTATCTCTATGAAGGGATACCTTTCTATTGATAGGTCTTCTCTCTGGATGAGTGGCTGGAACAAATGAGAGACTATCATGAAATAAGGAAGATGTGGAGTCACAATAAAGTAGTGAAGGTTCAGTATCATAAGAAAAAGAGTGAAAGACAACTTCATGGTTCATTGAATAACTGTTTGCAGTGTTCAAGGAGGGTGGATCATAGTTGAGGGAGTAGCTTTGTCTTTAGTCTTAAACAAAAACATAATTATGGATTGATTTTAAAAAGTTTCATATCTTTGAATGTGAAAAAGAATATGATGGCAATAGACACAGGTCAAAGGAAAAAAAGTGACCTATCTGGCCAATGGAATAAACAGAAAATTCAGACAATTCCAGAAATCTTGGTGACAATGAAGGGCAAAAATTAACAATTTAGGGAATAAAATTGATTTATTTTTTAAAAGTTAGAAATTAGGTGATGTAATATGTTGGTAAGGAGCTCTGGTAGCATAGTGCCTAAGGCACTTGACTGCTAACCAGAAGGCTGGCGGTTCAAACCCACCAGCCACTCCTCGGAAGGAAGGTTGGGCATTCCTACTTCCGTAGTGATACTGCCTCGGAAACCCAAGGAGGGGTCGCTATGAGTCGGGGCCGACTCGATGGCAAATAACAACAACAACAACAACAATATGTTGGTAAGATATCAGGCAGAGGCCTTGGCTAAAACTGTATATTTGTCTTCTTTATAGGATAGTGGTCTTAGAATCTACTCAGGAGCCCCACCATGGAAGATCACCTCCACAATAGCTCATGGTTGCCTCCTTTCACACTGACAGGGCTCCCAGGGCTGGAGACCTCGCAACACTGGATGTTTCTGCTGCTTGGTGCTCTCTACACCATCTCCATTGTGGGCAATGCCCTTATCCTATTCATTATCAAGGAGGAGCAGAGCTTGCATCAGCCTATGTACTATTTCTTGTCCCTGCTATCAGTTAATGACCTAGGTGTGTCCTTTTCCACACTGCCCACTGTGCTGGCCACTTTTTGCTTCCACTCAAGGGAGATCAACTTTGATTCTTGCATGGCTCAAATGTTCTTTATTCACCTCTTCTCCTTCATGGAGTCTGGGATCCTGTTGGCCATGAGCTTTGACCGCTATGTGGCCATCTGCAAGCCATTGCGGTATGCCACAGTGCTCACTGAAGCCCGAGTGCTGCGCATGGGCATGTCTATTATCATCCGCAGTTTCTGCATGGTTTTTCCACTACCTTTCCTTCTGAAGAGGCTGCCTTTTTGCAAGGACAATATACTTTCCCACGCTTACTGTCTGCACCCAGACTTGATCCGGCTGCCCTGTGGTGACATCACCATCAACAATATCTTTGGTTTATTCATTGTCATCTTCAGTTTTGGCCTGGACTCTGCACTCATTCTGCTCTCTTATGTGCTCATACTGCACTCTGTGCTGGCCATTGCCTCTAGGGAGGAGAGGTTAAAGGCACTCAACAAGTGTGTGTCACACATTTGCGCTGTGCTCATCTTTTATGTGCCAATGGTTGGAGTATCCATGGCTGCTCGCTATGGGAGCCATGCCCCAAAGTATGTGCACACACTCATGTCCCTGATCTACCTCTTTGTGCCTCCAATGCTAAACCCTGTCATCTATTCCATCAAAACCGAAGAGATTCGTCGGAAGCTTCACAAAATACTACTGGGAACTAAGTTTTAAACAGAAGCACACAGGCTGACGGGCCTTGAGTCAGATAATGTTTCCTGTTAGTCCCAAAATTTGAATTTCTAAGACCTGTATTAACAAAACGGAGCTCTGATGGCATAGTGCTTAAGACATTTGATCGTAACCAGAAGGCTGGTGGTTCAAACCCACCAGCTACTCCTCGGAAGGAAGATTGGGCAATCTACTTCTGTAGAAATAACCAAAAAAACCAAACTCACTGCCATTGAGTCAGATCCAATTCATAGCAACCCCTCCTTGGGTTTCCAAGGCGATATTGCCTTGAGGGGTCGCTGTGAGTTGAATCTAATCAATAGCAGTGAATTTGGTTTTGTTTTTTGGTATTGACAAGAATTTTTGAATTTCCTTTTGAATACTAACCCACTATTAGGATTCTTGCTATCAGATATATGGTGAAAGACTGACAATTGTTAAGAATCAAACCAACAGGTTTCAGAAAGTTCAAATGGTTCATAATTTAGGGGAAAAAACTTTATTTTCCTCTTTTTTTAATTGAAAAATATACAAAGGAAAAATTGAAACATCATCACAAAGGAAATTACTTATTATCGTTGAAATATTGTATCAATGAGGGAAAGAGTTATTTACCCCAAAGATTATGTTAAAGGAATATTAGAGAAGAGCATATGTATATGAATATATATAATATATTGTATATAAAAAATCATTCTCAGATTTATTTCCATAACATGTATCAATCATCTGGCCTTTAAAATGAGATAAGCATAATTGCATATATTGCTGTTAGGTGTTAAGTTGGTTCCAACTCATAGTGACCCCATGTACAATAGAAGGAAACACTGCCCAGTCTTGTGCCATCTTCACAACTATTGCTATGCTTGTGTCCACTGTTGCAGCCACTGTGTCAATCCATCTCATTGTCAATCCATCCACTTTTTCACTGACCATCTACTTCGCCAAGCACAAAATCCTTCTCCAGGGCTGGTCCTGCCTGACAACACGAGCAAAGTGCCAGAAGTGAATTAGTGTATCCTTTCTTCTCAGGAGGATTCTGTCTGTATTTCATTCCAAAGACTGAAGAAGAATTTATGTATCTGAATTATGATGTGGGCAAAGTATATTGAATATACCACAGACTGTCAGAAGAACAAACAGATCTCTCTTGGATGAAATATTTATATATAAATTTAATTAAATGATCCAACTTTCTTAAAATTAAATTTGGTAAGGTGTTTCTTAATAATTTCCCCACTACAAGTCTCTCTTTTTTGTCTTACTATCCTTAACTATCTACCATGACTGTTTGTGGTTGAGTTGACTACAACTCATGACAACACCATGTGTGTCAGAGTAGAATTGTATTCCATAGAGTTTTCAGCGACTGATTTTTTGGAATCAGATCACCAGGCCTTTCTTCCGAGGCACCTCCGGTTGAGTTCAAACCACCAACCTTTTGTTTAGCAAGACAGTGTGTTAACAATTTGTGCCACTCAGGGTCTCTGATCATCTCATCTATCCCCAAATAATTTTCCTGCCACACTGAACAATGCAGAGTGCCCTAAAACAACAGGTTTCTTCATGTCTATGCTTCTTCACTTTATAGCTTCTGCTTAGACTATCTTATTCATGATCATATGCTTGGCGATTATACAATCACTCATTAAAAAATAAATTCATTCAAAATATTTGTTGAACAAATATCATGGGCCAGGCAATGGTTCAGCTTTTTGGTTATTTACTGTATGATGTGTTTCTAGCATTCCCTTTAGTGTAGAAACAAGGGAGCAGGATACAGACCCAGAACACATCCCTGAGGAAGAAGCATCATTGGAACTCTCTGATAAGAATTCAAAAGA